TGTAGGTTCTCATTAACGAAGAGATAAGTAAAGTAATAATTATTTTTCATCTTTTAACTTACATGCCATGAATTAAGTACAAGTAAATCCCCGCTCATGGACTTCGGTAGCAAGTCGTTTCATAGCAGTAATTTTCTTTAAAGGTGAAGGTTTTTATATCCAGAGACAAGTATATTATTGTATCGGTCGAAAATTTTGATAGTCTAAAAATGATTGCTATGGAGCATCTCATCCTGGTTAAAGATTATATTGGTCTTTATCGTTTTTATTCAAAAATAAAAGGTACCTATAGTCCATCTAATCTAAGAGGCACCGTTTGACGTTTCATACTTTTCAAGTCGAAACAACCTCGTATAGGCGTAACTCACACAATTTCAATAACCTTTTCCTTAAAACCATGGATTTATGAAATATGCAATTGAATGCAATTTTTATTTTATCGGAAGATTTACAATTCTTTATGACTAAATTTAAATTGAAATCTTTGAAACAAAGCAAAAAACCAATTTATACACAATAGATGTTTTTTGCTCAAAGTTCGTTTCAAAGTCACGTAGTCAGGTCCTCTAACGTAGTGTTGAAGATCTTTAAATTCACTTAATTATAATTAATTGTTAAATTGTACGAAAAATCGAAGTTATTAAAAAGGAGTCTTTTTCAATCCAGGCATCTTGAAGTGTTTAATAATACTTAAAATTCATCTGAAATCCAACTGTCAACGAAAATGCATAATTTTAAACAAATCTTTGTTGGCAAAAGAAAGATCTTGATGTGCATAGGGACAGGGCTCCGGTAACCTTACTCCCACTCGGTGAAAAACAACGAAAAAAATGATTAACATCGGACTTCAGAGAGGCCGTGGTCTCGCTCCGATCCGGTATAACCACGACAGTCTAGTCAGTTATTTCTAGTGAAAAAATAAAACCTGGATATTTGGTGCAATTAGGTCAACAAAATTATAGAAAATATTAAAAACTTAATAAAATATGGCAGAACATTGACCTCCAAAAGTGTAATACAAATAAATACACTTATTAAAAAATAAAAGTTTTGTAAAATGAGCGTTTAGGTATAACTAAACAGAACTAAAACGACAAGTTATAGTCTTACACTTCTTTTATAAAACGACTTCAAGGTGACGGCTTGTGTAATTACTAAATGCTATTTATTCTATAGTCTAACGAAAAAGGCCTGCCTGTATACTGTCTAATAGGTCTGTTTCTTTTCGTTATTGATCTTCAGATTATCTGATAGTTAAAATACATTTTAAGATACCGAATAAGATTTTTGGGTTGTTAATATAGGTTTGTATTGAAATATCTTAAAAAATATTAAAAACAGACAAATCTTATTGACAACATCGTCACTAAATTAGTTGTCAATGTAAACAATCCAACGTTTATGAAATGTTCAAAGCCTTAAATGAAAGTATTAATCAATAAACATTTAAATATTAAGCATTTAATACCTAAGCGCCTGTTTTTCTTTACATAGTTAATGCCTACATGCGTATTATAAACGCATGGCTTATAAGGAAGCAAAACCTTTAAAAACTATAACATATGGCGTTAAGGTTCAGTTTTTACACAATTCTTCATAATACATATATTTTAATATGGATAGTATTTAACAGTTTATTTAAAAAACTTTCTTTTCATAAAAAAAAAAAATCCAATCTTTATGAAAAGTAATGATTGCATAGCAAAATACCAAATAGTTACCTAAAAATATTATTATTTTAGCAACAATTCGACTTCGTGACGTTTCGCTATTATTTTAAAAGCGGAACTTTTTTATAACTTAAACTAGCCTACTATTCTGATCAAAGCTCGTTTCTGATAGCGATTTGTTTTCTTGTGGGCTCGCAGGTCTAATCTAACCTTTTTTTCTGGAAGCAGCTCGTTTATGCGGGAGTCGCCTTAATCCTTGTATTAGTCTACTATGGCTGGCCGGTTGGTCTAGTGGTTAGTGACCCTGACTGCTACGCCAGAGGTCGCAGGTTCGATTCCCACCCGGGACAAATAATTGTGTGATGAGCACGGTCACTTGTTCTGTGTCTCGGTGTACTTTATCTGTAATATGTATGTATTTAGTTATATGTAAGTATGTTTGTCAGCAGTCTGGTTACCATAGTACAGGCTCTGCTTAATTTGAGATTAGAAATGTGTGAAAATAATATTATTATTCTCATTATTCCATTAAATATACAAATTACATTTTTTACAAAAAAAAACATTTAAAAATATAAAAAAATAATGTCCCATCGGTATCGGGTACAGGGACCATGATATTGGTGGTTAGGTTTCCAGAGACAGAAACCTCCTCACAATATGTGCTGTATCGAGAAGAACTGCTTTTGTGCATCAGACCCTTAATCTAACTGCCTAACGCGAGCCTCTGATGGTTTCGAAATGTTGGTCGAGGCTCTTAGCAATTAATCCATGGGCTACTATGACTATCGGTACATTTATTGCAGAATCCACACCCCACATGTCAACAATGTCAAGGCCAAATCCAAATACTTTACTTGTTTATCTTTGCAGCTTTCAAGAGATTGTCGTCATGTGGAATACTAATGTCAACAATAATTGTTTGGCGCTCTAATCGCTTTATTACCACTTTATCAGGTTTATTGGCAACAATAGTCCTTTCAGTGATAATAAGGCTATCCCAGTACAACGTTGCACGACCATTTTCAATCACTGGGTCGTGCACATATTAGTAGTACGGGAACTCCACAGTCACAAGGTAACACTTAAGAGCGAGTTGCTGATGAACTATCCTTGTTTTTCACACTGGGAATGCATATCCTCCGTTGGGAAAACGCAGGTCGTGTCTGGGACTCTCGGAGAACCGGTCTACCCACTAAACCCCGCGGAGGCCTACCTCGGCAGCCGGGAGAAGCTCCAGGAACGCATCGGCAACTTCTGGAGTCCTAACTGCTGTACCCCATATCTGAGGCACATCCCGGGTTGACCGTAGTTACCCTGGAGCAGGTCGCTAGCTTACATACGAGTAGTAAAAGGCGCAAAAGCGTCCCGCCTTAGACGACACCCACCGGCTGCACTGGAGTGTTATCTGTCTCGGGTCTTTTACAGCGGTTACATGGCCCCAAGATGTGGCCACAGTGACCCTTGATAATGTGAAGTACTGACGAGAACAATCGGCAATGATGTGTCTGAGGCTTTCACCAGAATAATCAAATGCCCGACAAATGTCTATTGTGCCGTCCTTAAGGATATAAGTGAGGTTTGCATGGCGCCATTAATTTATAATAAAATTCCCAAAAGTCTAAAAGAGTTGACTATGAATATATTAAAAATTAAACTTAAGAATATATTAATAGAGAAATGTTATTATAGTTTAATCAAGTATTGTGATTGCCAAAGACAAAAAGTACCTGTGGTGAATGATGACGATCTTTAATGAGAACTGTAAATTTTATTGTTTCTAGTTGTGAATGTATTGTTGACAGGCATAGGATTTGTGTATTTTCTTTGTATTAAATTATTTTATAGAATTTTTATTTCATTGTTTTTTTTATTTCTTGACATTTTCTTTTATTATGCTTTTAATTAATTGGATTTATAACTATTTTTATATTTGATGATCTTCTTTTATTATATTTGTACACCTGTATGGTTGAAAATGTTGATTCTTAAAATTTGTTATTAAGACCTGTATATTTCTGACTACATATGTACACTGTATATTTCTGACTACATATGTATATTTCTGATTAAATTTGTACACACACATGTTCTGCAAATAAATATATCTTTATCTTTAAGCATGTATTTTTGTTACCCGAGTCCTTCCCTTGATTCTAAGAGAGGGGTTTAAGGGGCGGAAATGCACAGGTGACCTTTGACTTGCTGGATGGGCACCAGCAGGGCTAGTCACTTAAGTTATTTTTTAAAATAAAATGCTTGCTTGATAGCATCGTTTTAAAAGCTTTGTTTTCCCATCTTCAAGCGACCGCAAGCACACTTTTTAACTCCGGACGCAAAAAATAGGTGTGTAATAAATTTACGTGTGTCGTCTGTGGTATCATGGCTCCTAAGCGGATAAAACGATTTTTTTTTGTTTGGAAGGCAATTTGATTTATAGGCCGTTCAATCAGTTTTGACTAAGATTTTAGTCAGTTTGACTGTGATATACTAGCAACGATTTACATGGAAAAATATATATAATAAAAAACAAAAGTTTTGTAGTGACTTTCAAATACGGTGAAACGAAAAAACATGCTCCACTGTAAAGGAACGGGTGTTATGTCCCTTCCACACAAAGGGAGCATCTTCCGACCAGGCGAGGTGATCATGCCTGGCGGACTGCGGCTCGATGGTTAATGTTGGGAAGGTGTATATTTTGTGCTAATCGGCGTGAGAATTACTTTTATCGCGATACAGGATTAGCAGTTACTCTGTAGTTCGGTGTGTCTCCGTTAGATGGCGCTATAATATGTTTTTGCTTCATTGTATGTGAAAGCTGCCATAGTTTTGTTAAAAACAAAATGCGCACATTATTTTATCTACATGTTGACGTAGTAATAAAACTATACAACGTATGAACTTTCATTTCATATTACATTACAATTACAAAATTTTTTGCAGTCATCACTATTTATTATTCAGTACATTGACAACATAATGATCTAATAATCATTACTAATTACCTTTAATATCTTATGCGTAACAAACCATCGTTTAATACCCGATAACTGCATTTTGGTATGTGTTAATTTTCTTGCAGAACACGTAGAACAATAACAGGATTCTAAGAGCAGGTGAACGCGATAGATATATAATTTAACTTAAGTGGGAAAGAGTCAGTAGATTAGCGTAACCTTTCGCTGAGCTGTAACAGAGCTAAGAATGGATGACAAAAAGTGAATAAGTCAGTGCGGTATAGTACGGTGCGGGCGTCAGTCAGATATTATAATAAAGTCACATCAAGTGATTATTAAGTAGAACTTAGTAGTAGGGCAGTGTTATCACAAGATGGCGTTCCGGTCGTGCGCAGGAGTTATTTTACTGAGCTGTTTAGTTGGTAAGTAGGTAGTGGTAAAGTTAAAAGGAACTAGTTTTGTATTCGAAAACATTTAGTCTTCTCTATCCTACTGACCTTCATTTACCTATATTGTTATAAATATTCAAAGAACGTACTTTCATTTCAAAACGTGACCTATTTGATAGCCTTTAATGACATAAATTAATATTCAACACACACAAGTACGAGTAAGTGTTACCATGTCCGGGTACTAGTTGGCCTTGATGTCTAGTTCCAATTCCTGTCTAATTTGAATCACCTTACAAGTTTTTGAATTATGATAATATAAAATAAATAAAGAAGTGCCAGTTATTTTTATTTTCCGAATTTTAAATTTGGAAGGTGGTGTGGTGGTGGTTGGTTATGTTGAAAAAAGTTTTTATATTCATACTTTATTCTGATACTTTTTTGTCATCGAGTGACTCTCAAAGTGGTTTTTACGTCACATCTGTCACGATATTAAGTCTACAAGGAAAAGACACCAACGCGCTTGCATCTTCTAAAAGGGAAAGTAGTTGTCAAGCTTAACTTGTCCCATTTCATACATCAAAACTTTATCATTTGATTTCTGAACCTATTACGTCATATGATCTTTGTTGTCCTATCATAAGCTGGCGTTAACTTTTGCCTTTGATTGTGATGTCCTACATTCGATTCCCGATTGGTGTCAAATATTGAATTATTTTTGATCGTAGGAATTATCTCTATAATAATAATAATATTTTCACACATCCAAGACACGGCGATCTGATTCCAAACTAGGTAGAACCTGTGCTATGGTAACCAGACTGCTGATAAACATACTTACATAAATACATAAAATAAATAAAAACATAAATACATACATATTATTACGTGTATGTAAACTACCCAACTTTTTAAATATCTAATATCCGTATTAAGTTTGTCTGGAAGAGATCGCCGTGTGCGATAAGACCGCTGATTGTTACGTCTATATATTTCTTAATAACTTATGTGTTAACTATATACAATAAAGATATAAGTAAATAAATTAATTATAGGTAAAGTACACCTCCTTCATAGTATACGACCTCTGGCGTTGCAGTCAGGGTCACTAACCTCTAGACCAGCAGCCCAGTCAAAGTATTTTAATAATCTATTTTCTTTGTCTTCAATCTCTTAAAAAAACTTAAACATAATATAAATATTAGGTAATTTTTTTTTTTTTGTTGTGGGTGTATTATAAAAAATGATTGATGTCGACTCAATAGTCTTAATAACTACCATACTAACGTGACTTGATTAAATTTTACAAACATATTCACTATAAGACTGTAAATAAAGCTCAATAACACAAATAAGAAACTAAACGCCAACCTTGAGTAAATAGAAATCTAATACCATTTAACTCAGAATCAATTGCGAATTATCTTGTCGTAAATACACGAACTAACTGAGCGTAACTTATAGAGAAATGTGTTTACATTTTACGCACGAAAGCTTTGCTGGATGCCAACAAAGTTCGAATGAGTACGCATTCCAATATTTTGTAATACTCGTATGAGTACAAACGTATTACCAAATGTCTGATGACAACTTGTTACTCAGTAATTTGATATCTTTTGAATTTAGAATAGTCTTCATCCTCATGAGAAAAGGATGTCTAAACCATCATACATGTATAAAATTAATGGACTGGATCTTTAAACCTATCACCATGAAAGCGTATAGGTACCTATTTTTCTTTTGTATTGAAAAAGTTATACAATAAGAATGGGTTTTCTGCCAATTTTTTCAATGACCCAAAACCTGTAAGTATGTTTTCAACTTTTTTATACAAATTTCTAATCTATACCAATCTTACTATTGTCAATGCGTTGTGAATCATTTGAAAAAGCATGAAGACATAATAGTTTAAACAACCGAAATAAGGTCAGCATTGAATATTTTAATCAAAATACTAGAAACATTGATACATCAATTCTTAGCATTTAATCTGGTAATATAAATAATAATGTAAAATATTAATTGAATTTAATTGAAATTTAATTGAATTTGTTACCTTGTAAATGGAGACTTATGTAGATAAAGTAGGTTGGTAGATATTTAAGATTCCAAACAATTTGTTGTCAGAACTAGTATCTAACATACATTAACATTTAGTAACCTGTAATACATTATTGTGTGCGGTTACTGAGTGGTCAGAATATTTAAGTTCTGTTGACTGATTACTGATGCACAATTCAATGAAAAATTACCTAAATCAATAACAAATAGTAAGAAAACTTAGTTTAACTACAGTAGCAGCATACGGTGAACTTCTCGCGACCCTACTCACTAACAATAATAACACTGTACTAATGTAAGGATATTATAGAGGTTGTTTTTTGCACATAAAATAAATTCATTTCTCTCACTGCTTAGCATGAGAGAAATGATGACGTAGAAATTGAAATCGATTTTAAAGATTTATTTATGTTATCAACGCATTAAAAACTCGGATTTTTTAAAGAGCTAATATTTTATTAACTGTGTACACGAGCTTGTTGTCGACCATCGCAATTTCACAACCCTTATGGCAGTTCCATCCAGTACTCAACCCAAAAACATATTTTAATAAATGTTGTTTGGTCTCAAGGGTTGTCATCTGTGGAAATGTATTACAAGTTGCTACAAGGAAATTTAAGGAATTATTCCCTCAACAAAAAATATGCCTTATCTTACGTTCTTACCTAATATTAACATTGTCAAAAGAAACTTAAGGAAAATGCTCTTGTGAAAATTATTAGTACCACTAAAATTTAGCAACTAGTACAATTTATTGAACTCGTAAACACTTTTTCGCAAAAATATTATTTAGTTTACATATAACAAGTTTCAATGAAGGTCACCACCAATAGTGTCTATCGTAACATGGCATTAATTGTGTTTTGACACAGAACCTCGCTGACCACGCGTGGTGAGGTAACAGTGAAATCGTTAAGCAAGCTGTTTCGTTCGTTATTCGAATACTCGAGTTAGTTTTCGATATTCGATGTACAAACACATACTGACTAACGACTGAATAAAATTAAATCATCATCATCATTTGCCAGCCCATTGTCTAATTTGTGGGCTTTGGTAGTGGTTTCTTTTATAACCGGCCCGGCTCCCTGTCACCAACCCTCTTTAGGAATGTAATTAGATTCATATTGCCTGGTCTAGTGATTAGTGACCCTGATTTCTACGCCAGAGGTCGTGGGTTTCTGCTCTGCCTGCCAGCTCTGCCTAGTTTGGGATCAGAGGCCGTGTGTGAGATTTGTGAAGATATTATTTATTTAAATCTTACACGGACACAGGGTAAGGAAATAATTCCCGAGGAAGACCTAAATTCGTATATGATAACGTAGGCATTTCCTTAAAGGATCGCATCAGAAATAAGGTGATTTGTCAGAAAACCAAGTTCATCGACATATGCCACAGGATCAGCAAGCTTAAGTGGCAGTTTGCTGGCAATACAAGCTGCAGAACCGACAACCGTTGGGGTGAACGACTTCTTGAGTGGAGAACGCATCTCGGTAAATGTAGTGTAGGACGCCCATAAGCGCCTAGACATAAAATATACGTCTAGGCTGACAAGTAAAGAGCTAGCTCACAGCCTACCTGATAGTAAGTGGTTCCAAAAACCACTTCGAATACCGCCGTAAAACTAGTGTTGTTCACTAACCAATCAAACCATAACAATATTGAACGAGTTCACTACTTATGATATTACACATGTTCATTTAGTCAAAAATCAACTTGTGATGTTATGAAAGAGAAAAACTATAATATAAATGTCCCATGTTTATAATGTACTTAAATAAAAATCTAATTCAAATTGTATGTGTAAATGTATTTGACGAGACCTCAAAACTTAACCGCACGACAAGTTAAATATAATTGTAGCATTTGAAAATCATCTTTGAAACTGGTTTCGGACATACACTAGATAAATTCAAAAGGGGCTTATAACGCGAATATTAACTTGTTTAATTTGAAATTCACAAACAAAAAATTTTGCAAAGTTCATTGACATAATCTCACCAAAAATTATAATGCAATATGTATTTGTTAAGCCCTAACGCCTTAACTACTCCATTATTTTTGCACACATGTTGTCGGGGGACCGATAGATATAGGGAACGATAATCCAGGGCACCAAGAAAACTCAAAAGAAAATGTGATGTGGACAACTGATTTCATTGGCAACATCTAAATTCATGTGACCGAGCAGGCAAAGCTAGCCAATAATATTTGCGACGGATTCTGATTCCATTTTTTTTTGTTTTGGACCGATGCCTGCCATCGTCCACTTAAAGCGTCAAGCACATAGTCAATAAAGAAACCAATGTTTTGAAACTTTTGGATGCATTAAAATGTATGACTAAACATACAACATGTTGCTGAAACTTTGCTTAAGTGAGCGAACCAGGAGCTATAGCTAAACATTGACAACTATCTATTTCTAAAGTAAATTAACTTATTGTCACCTTCATGTAACGGTCTCAAGAAATAAAAATCTTAGAAGTTTGACTTGCTAACCACAATACATAAGACTCTCGCTCTCTCTTATTTTGTAAATCTGTCAGGTTACCATATTCGTTCGTTCTTTACAATTATATGCCACTATCTCTATGTAATATAATGTAATGTAAGTATGGTTGCTTAAGTTGTAAATATTGTTTTATTTTGTAAACTTTAACTGACATCGTATAAATCGTCGGTTTTTTGTCAAAATATCGATAACCGGACCTGTTTTATTATTTTTGGATGTTTTCAAATATTTTTAAAATTAATTGCTCATTTTGATTAAAATTTTTGGCTTCATGCACTTGCTCTATATATAAATTTATAAGAAGTTTAGACTTTAGGGTCTAAAAAAATTTAATACAAAAACAGTTCAGTTCCTTTGTTCTTATTTTCTTTTTTTTACAAGGAAGAACTTTAATTGCTGTAGTTTTTACCCTATATACGACGAATTTCAATCTCTCGTCAACTTATTATTCTACTAAAAGAAATGTTATTTATGTATTGTCAATTGTAAAGACAATATTTATTAAAAATTAAGAAGAGTATATTTAAGTGAACTTACAAAACAGTTCTAAAAGAAATGGTTTAATATTATAAATTTAAATGTTGTACATCGTAAAAGATTTGAAATTGCACCGAAAAAATAATAGAAGTAAACAAAGATATTTGTAGATAGGTAATTAGGCATATAATTGAGGTAATTATTTTATGAAATTGTATTTGAGTCAAGGCCATTTTATAACGATTAGTTAACGATTGTAATAACCGAATTTATTACGAAAACTAGGAAATAGCATGAATATATTAATAATTCTGCGAATAGCGATTAAGACAACTTTGGTCTCAAATTCATTTCACAGGTTATTTAAGGACTCTAACCCCCGTTATTATTAACACAGTCACTTTATTTTTAACCGACTTCAAAAAAAGAGGAAGTTATAATTCGACTGTATTTTTGTATGTTCTCCGTCAATATCGGAATGATTTTCAAAAGGATTTTTGTAATGTCGGGTATACTCCCCGTGGAGGGGGTATACTCTACGTGGTTCCATTGACACTAAGGTAGGATCTGCTGATGCGATCTCAGAGAAATCGAGGGAAACCCTCAAATTTTTTATCGCGCGGGATCGCGGTAAAATTACAAGATTGCTTCAACAGCAGTCCGATGTCTATAATGACCTCATAGACGCTGGGATGAATCATCCAAGGGACGCCATCTTTACCAATTCTTTCCATCTGTTCGCGAACGGTTGTCGAGGACATGGCTTGAGGTTTGGCCGGAACTCCCCCGTGGGATTTGGAGGCGGAAGTGCTCGCCGAAGTTTATCGGCGAGTGGCTGACTTCCGGGCGGAGAGCGGATTTCGCCCTCCGCCCGAGGATGTGCGCGAGTGGCGCGAAGCCGCTCGCCGAGCCACGATGGCTCGTTGGTCGTTCCGGCTGGAGACTCCACGCGCTGGCTTCGCCGCCGTGGAGGCTCTCCAGCCGGTCATCGCCGAGTGGGCAGGGCGGCAGCACGGGACCCTTTCCTTCCGACTGACGCAGGTGCTTTCCGGGCACGGTTGCTTCGGGAAGTACCTGCACACGGTCGCTAGGAGGGAACTGAGTCCCGCCTGCCACCACTGCGACTGCAGTGAGGACTCGGCCCAGCACACGCTGGCGGTCTGCCCCGCATGGGCGGCGCAGCGTCGGGCCCTCACTGCAGTCATCGGAGTGGATCTCTCGCTACCGGCCGTAGTACGCTCCATGGCCGGTAGCGACAGTTGTTTTACCGCGGTCGCAACCTTCTGCGAGGTAGTAATCTCGCGGAAGGAGGCGGCGGAGAGGGCCCGGGAGGACGACCTCCACTCGGACCCGATCCGCCGCCGGCGAACCGGGCGGCGGAGGCCCGCCTACCACAGCCTCATGCCGCCCTGAGTGTGGCCGCGGGTGGACGGGGTGGGTTTCCCCTCCACCCGCATTAGTTGGCCAGCCGCGAGGGGGCGGCGTCCGCGTGTGCCGGACGTCGCCTAAAGAGAGGAATAATATCGAGACGGAGCCCGCATCAGGAGCGGGCTGGCGCTAGGAGGGGTCCGGATGTCTTAACAACAGCTGTTCCCGGATCCCTCCTGTTACAGGCGCAGAGTGGCACACCGTGTGGTTTTAGTCGGTCCGAGTCCGACACACCACCCCGCCGCAAACCCCGGAGGGGTGACGGTCCGAGGGGATTTCCACACGATAAAAAAAAAAAAAAAAAAAAGGACATGGCTTGAGGTGGATCACTGTGTCGCTCAATTTCTTACGGGTCATGGTAACTTTAAGAGCAAGCTTTATTCATTTAAATTAGTCGAGTCACCATTGTGTCAATGCTCAACACCTAACTCTCACTATGAACAGTCTGCTCATGATATCCTCAGGTATAATGAACGTAATATAATGCTGAATACCTTGCAGGTGACATCTGGGGCGGTATACTATGGGGATCTTGTGTCAACTAGGGTGAATTTCCGTGCGTTTAGGCGATTCTGCCATACATATTATAGAAATCAAATATAGCTCACGTAGGACCCGTAATATTTCGTGGCCGTGGTGCTTCCCTGTTTAAAAGGGTGTATGCCCATTTTACTTCATTTTGTCTCCCGCTTTGCTAAGGAGGGAAGTGGATTTACTGTATTTCCAACTCCTCCAATTTTCTTCTGATTAATTTCGTTGCGGGTTCCAAGACAGTTTAGTTTCTTCCTGGGACTTCCCGAGTGTCATAACTCGGTGTGTTCGTGGGTCACTGCTGTGGATCCTGGTGTACAGGAGTTACAGTGGTGGGCGTGTAGGCGGGATTAGTCCCAAAAAAAAAGGCCCGAAAACGTGTTTCATCTATTTTCTCAAGCAATACAGGTATTTGCATATGAGAATCATTATCTCATGTTGTTGAGGTGATGATAGACTGGCCCTTGACTTTAAGGAGGTATTAATAGAGATATTTATGTAGGCGCATTGGAGTTAATTATTATGTTCTAAAAACTTTTATAATTCATCTAAAATCAATCAGACTGAAAATCGGCAGCTGATTACGTAGATTTAAGAATTTCAAGTCATATATGTATTAAAAAAAATACTATTTCTAGAAACATAAAGCCCAAAGTCTCGATTTGTGTTATAATTACTTACAGCATTGAAGTTGAGGAAGTGACCGACTCAATGTTAACTACTTTCCAACTCCACAGGAAGCATAGTACGCCAAAGACTATTGGTATGAAAGAAAAGTATTATTGAATCATTTAGCATTATAATAGGAAGATACATATAAGGCTAGACATGTTGCCGTGTTATGACCATACAACAAGCTCAAAATCGCATGATTAATCTGTATCGATTTAACAACTCCTCAATATATTGTAAGAGTAAAAAAATAAAGGATTCCCATTTGAAACGAAATCATTCTTTTGCATTTGCATTTAATTCGATCTCGCAACACTTTATTTAGATGCGAAAATCTCAATTAAATATACCGTTGCAAGATCGATTCGATAATATCAAGCTGTCAAATCGTATAATTGGACACCAAATCGATACAATTTGTAACTTTTTAAATTAACTTTTCTCGTAGCATTAATATTAGTAAATGACAACTTGTTTTTTTTTTTGTGAATATGCAATTAATTTTTTGTTTCGTTATTTGTCTTAAACAAACAAATAAATAAAAAAAAACAAATAAATTTAGGTGCAAAGTATTAAAAATGCAAAGTCAACTTTTCAAAACAACACTAATGTTGATTTGAAAAGAAAAAACCTACAAGGGCATATCTAATAAACTAGCCAAGTGCGAGTCGTGCACGAAAGGTTCCGAACCATTACGTATAAAAACGGCAAAAAAAACATGTCTGTTGTATGGGAGCCTCATTTAAATATTTATTTTATTCTGTTTTTTAGTATTTGTTGACAAACAGACGGACGACGGACGGACAGTTGAGTCTTAGTAATAGGGTCCCATTTTACCCTTTGGGTACGGAACCCTAAAAATGCGCTAACCGAATTAAGTCAAGCCCAATACTGCTAATATACTCTTTTTCTTTTTGCAGTATTAGCGTCATCAGCCGTGCCTAAGCAAAAAGGAAGGAAACCAGTTAACCAGCCAGCTCGTAGCATTGCCGATTCAGAGCGAGATGCGGAGATCACAAGCGACTGCCCCGAGGACGGCTTCTTTGCTGACGCCGAACAGTGTGACAAATACTATCAATGCAGGTAAATTTATCTTTAATTTATTCAGTCATTAATTTTTGATTTTCATCATTTTTGACCTTAATGTGGTCAAAAATGATTTTTTTGCCAAATTAAACCAAGGCTCAACTTCTATAACCCAAAAAAAAAGAATGGTAATGTCCTAAAATAAAACTGACACAATTAATTGATACACTTAGTATTCCCCATCTTAAGTGTAAAAAAAACCTGTGTTTCTGAGTCACTTTGCCAATGTTTATTTATTTGTTTGGTTAACTCACAGCAGATATCTGTAACATTTATGGTAAAATCTAGGTAATCAGGTTCTGATATACATAGATTTTTTACAACATTCCACAAAAAATAACACAACATTCACAGTTTAGACAACATATTAACAAAAGCACTGTGATATTTTTGCATTAACAATCTTAACACTTTATTAATCTTGTGAGTTCAGTGGTTGTATTAACGAACAATACTTATCACATTACATATATTCAAAAAAAAGCATCTCTCTGCTATTATGACTAAACTAGACTACTTGTCGTAGTTATCATGTCATCGGTAATGTGGAAATGCTGTCAGCCCTCTGACACCATTTCCTGGCAAGGCTAATTCAAAAATGGCAATGCAAAACGCACACCTTCGGGTCATGAACGAGTGTCGCTCAGTCACCTTCCTACTCTTCTATAAAAGCAACATAAAGGAAGTAACGTAGCGGACCCGATGACTACTATATGGCTACTATGACCCGATGACTACTATGATCTCGAAAAAAGTATTAATGATTAACCCCCATCATTTGACCAACAAAATTTGACCAGTCATTGAACTCTCTAAAATTGAAAATAAGAACTGTGTAAAGAAATTTGTGTTTAAATAAATCACTTGTAATTTATTTGCTGTACGCTTTAAATTTACATTTGATTTTCCTCGTGAGTTCGCTAACCTTGTGCAACTTGATGAATTTTAAATAAAACTTGCCCAATATTTACTTGCCTTCTTTTACAGTGAAAGGATATTTGTTTGATTTGTTTAACAGTACTTAGCGATTAAGCACTTTGGTTATAAATCAAATAACTTTTTAAAAATTTTGAGTTTCATTATTTATCTCACATATTTGTCACTGCGTTGACACCAATTATTTAAGATTTATCACGATTGTTTTGTATGGTTTTCTGTTTCTTCAAACTTGATAAGTGGATTCAGATTCCAACCCTATCCCAGTTGTTAGTACCCTTTAAATAAAAGAGAAAAGTACCTGATATATCTATCAAGTGATCTTAGACAGGCTCGTCAGGGTATGAAAACTTATTTCACGTATAAGTTTTCAGCACGATATTGACTCTAAAATCATATTTAATATAGTGCCCAGTTTTATTTGTATCTATTTTGCAAAACCCATTAAAACATGGACTACCTACATGTTGTAAAATATAAAAGATGGCCTATAGCGAATTGCAAGAAAAAATTAAGTTTGTCCTTGCCCTTGCGCAATCCATTTAACACATTTTAGTTACAATATAATATTAACATATTCTATTTTAAATCTTCAGGAATGGTGAAATAATTGAAAAACTGTGTCCCGATGGCATGGTGTTCAATGATTACAGTAATCAAGAAGAGAAATGTGACCTGCCATTTAACCTGGACTGCTCACAAAGACCCAAACTTCGTAAGTAATTTGTTAGCATCACTTCTAGTGACTATGGTGTTATACACTGGAACGATTTTCAAAAGGATTCATTTTTAATTAAAAATCACCTGATTTTCGAAGTTTTACCGCTTCGAATGACTAGAATTCCTTGAACTCTCATTACATAGACTTTTGTAAAAAGAAAAATAAAGAAAAATAATAAGTAATAGTTACCATTTTAGCACACATTGCTTTAAAAGATTAGCTTTCTTTATACATTTATATAAACTACAAGTATTAGTTTTTATATATTATACATTGGCTTCGAAAATGCGTATAAAGAATGCTAATCATAAACATATAGTTTATACCTATATATATACGACTAAGTAGCTTCACAAAGGGGAAAGCGACCAGTTTATTCTTAAATTTGTGTGTGTTCTAAATAATACTAAAAAGTTCAGTTTGAATTTCTTTTTACGCCTTTACTAATAACAGCATTGTACTATTATATATTTTTAGAGATATTGAAATGTACATAGGATACCTTTCATTTAGAAAAAATAGTGTTCTGTAGGGTTAGAAAATTAACGTGACTACTTACAAGTAAAGTTTTTATTTTAATGTAATTGTGTTGATTAAAAATTAAATAACACTAGAATTATAGTTTGCATTTGTTGATATTTTATACTCAAATATCTTTCAATGGCTAATAATCCCTATTTAAACAAAACACACGTGTGCTGACAATTCAAATCGAATGTCATAATTACAACCCTGCTTTAGTCATTAAAATCTTTTATGTGATATTCTTCTAAAGTTTATTGTCATTAACACAAGTAATGACAGAAAAACTATCACCACCAATAATTAAACAACAATAAATTCGTTAATATTTTTCCATAGAAATAGAGTATAAATAGGAATATATGGTTGTCCAGTCCCTTGTGAAGATTTCTTCGGGGCAGTTAATCTCTGATTAATAACCGCGATCCTTAAGGACTTCATACCCAACAGCATCACGTATTCCTGGATTCTTCTGGTACATAGTGATAGTTGCATAGCTGATAGTTTTATAAGAAATAATAGGAATATTTCTAACTATATCTTATGTCTACATCACTTATAGTAGTTTAACTCTATCTACCTTGCTTATATTCAATATCAGCTTTATATATTATGGACTAGTCCATTAAAAACTTACATGTAATCAATAAAACTATTTTACTTAAATCTTTAACTCAACGCTAATTAACAAATCAGTCGTCTATAAAAATGCAAAATGTTTCCATGAAATATTTTACTAACTCTATATAAGGTCATTTAATGATTTATTAGTGACATCACTAGAATAAAGATTACATGTAAATATCATAGGTCACCTGTCGAGACAACTTTCCAATTTCAAGGGAAGCGTAGCCTTGCACGTGGCTGCCTGATTTCCGAAGATACGCCACGACAACACACAAGTTATTGTTAAACTTAACTCATCTTGTTTTAAACGCGATATGTATTAATTTTTTTTGCTAATATGTTTTCTATCTGAATATTAATAGGTACCCAAATAAGATTCTTTCTACTGACCTATTTTAAAAAACTCGCTTACGAAGGAATGTATGAATTAACTGACTTGTTAGCCTAATGATTAGAGATCTTGTCTGCTAAGCTAGTTATCGTCTGTGGTTTCCCATAATAAAGAATATGTATGAATGAGTATAATCATTTCTTTTGTTTCTGGGTGAAAATTTTATGTAGAAGACATTATCTTCATACAAAAAAATACTAACTATTTTTAAATTATTGTCTCTAGAAACGCCCATACCGTCACTGCACTGCGTTCGCCAAAATGGTTACTTCTCCCACGAGGATCCCAAGGAGTGTGGCAAATTCTACTACTGCGTAGACGGCAAATTTAACATGATCACCTGTCCCGACGGGTTGGTGTACAATGACAAGACCGGCATCTGCACCTGGGCAGATGAGGCTAAGAAGAAGGGATGTGGCGCTGCTGGTAAGTACACGAAATATTTTCTATATGAAATAGTAATTTTAAGGTAACTAATAATTACAATGAGCAAAACTTATAATTCTAAGATTTCTGCACCAACTCAGCAATCCTTTATTTTTCTTTAAATTTGCACTAGTAAGGAACGTTTTATATGCTGCCTGCTGATGAGCAAGGACCAGAGTTCCATAGGATACTTTATACGATACATATAAGCTACTTAGTTGTTTTTTTTTAGCTTAAATGTACTGTATCATATCATCATTTCAATTATGTTTTGCAAACACCTCTGCCAATTCGAGTGATAGTACAGAGTCCTCTGCCTTCCGCATTCATTGCACTATACTTTTTCTATTGTTCTATTTCTGTATTTTTACCCATAATTTATTGATATAAAACCATTTTTCGCAAAGATGATGAGATTTCATCAAGTGTGTTCACAAAGCAAATACGAGGTCATATATATTTCTACGTGAAATACAGATGGTCATATTTAAATATATTTTAAATTACAGATGTGTTCGCATTCGACTGTCCTCCCGTCAACGAGACCTTTGGCCTGACACATCCCCGCTACGCTGACCCTGAAGACTGCCAATTCTTCTACGTGTGTATAAACGGTAACACGCCACGACGCTCCGGCTGCAAACTTGGCCAGGTGTTTGATGATGTACAGAAACGCTGCGAATGGGCCAGGAAGGTGCCTGAATGGTGAGTACCAGTTTACAGGTATAAATACCATTAACAAGTAACAATTATCAATATAGATATCAATTCAACTAATGAGTAAACACTATAGGTATACATGGCATAAATAAGATAGCACTACAAGTTTTAAATGCCATTAATGACGAGAAATAATTAATTGATATATTTGTTCTGATACATACGTGTAGATGTGCTAGTGTGTTTTCTGCGTAGTTGAGGTTCTTATCTCGTATATTGATATTGTACAAGGATTGGTAATAGTAGAAGATAATAAGAAATAAAGTATAACATTTAAAATATCATTTAAATTAGAAAAAACTAGCAAGCTTTGTTAGTTTCTCTTGAACATCAAGAATGAGTGTAAACATTACATAACAACTGTTTCTATCGAAATATATATTTTATCTACATTGCTGAACATTGTGTATCAGAATGATAATAATACACAGAATAAGTAATAAGAAGTAGTAAGGTTCATTTTTGTTTTCACAATATTTTTCAGCTATAAATAATGGTTTCAAATATTTACTATGTTGCTGCATTAATCTACGAGTATTTACAGAATGTCATTAAAAAAATTGTTATTTTTCTTGTGCCATCATAATTATTAACGGTGTATACATATTCCAACTGTAATCTCTATTTCAGCGCTGACTGGTACAAAGGTCAATTGACAGATGCTGAACTAGAGGCGTTGGAAAATCCCCCTACTCCGAAACATAAGCCATCAGGTAGTGGACCATCCCGCCGTAAACCACAACGGCCCAGTAAAGGCAAGTCTGTCGAGCCAGTAGAGGAGTAACGCATTTACTGTATAATAGATTAATAAAACTATTTTATAAGAAGATATTTTTTTTATTTCCCCCAAAAAAATATATACCTACCTACAGACATAAAAACCGCTTTGACAGACATAAATACCTATGAAGTTGAAGATTTTTAAAACCAACATTTTCAGACTTAATATTGTTTGTAGATTGGCGTGTGATTGCAATTTTTTTTAAAAGGACATGTTGTTTAAAATTTAGTAATTTGTCTTAGATAGTGTTTTGTTTTTATGAAATTGTAATAGGTTTTTAGCGCCATGGCGAGTTCCTACGTCTAGAGCACGAAACATTAACTACGTGTACAGGTCTAACACTACTTATATAAACACGGTCCATTATTGGTTCAATCGTTTTAGATCTGGAAATTGTGAGTTGAAGAACAAGCCTTGCGGTCGGCCGGTAACTATAGTCGTCAACGATGAATTGAAGACGAAAGTGGAAGCTGTTCCAACTTAATCTACGCTTTGCTACGCTCAGCTTACTACCGGGTTTGGAGTTAGTGTCAAAATAATATTGACGCACTTGCTTCAAATCGGAATCCAAAAGCTAGATAAGTGAGTGCCACACGAACTAAGCGACCATTACCGAAACTTATGCATGCATAGCACTACTGAATCGGCATGGAAACGAGGGTTTTCTAAACCAAATTATTATCTGCGACTAAAGTGAATCCTGTATGACAACCGTAAGCGTTCGTCTCAGTAGGTGGACCTGGGTACGACACCTAATCAGTGCGCGAAATAAAAGATGGATAGGAAGATGATGGTTACTGTCTGGTGGACCAGCGCAGGATTTGTACATCACAGTAGTAGTGTAAGGCACATCTAGGTATTCTAGATTAAAATATATAAAGAAAAACTATATTGCTCGGTCTTCAGCCAGGGTACACTTAGTAAAGAAACAAGTTGTGCGTCAAAATTGTTTGCCGCTCTGAAAGAAGCTAGAGAAGGCGCATCTGTCAACTCTAACTTCTTCGCATTCGAAACAGCACTAGGACAGCACACACATCAGTAGGAGAGGGCGATGCAAAATGAAATAGGCAATTTTCTAAATTCTGATCATCTAGTCCACGCCCTCAACCATCAACACAAGGAAAAAATAAGAAAAAAGAATGAGTAAATTAAGATGGGTCAAAATAAAAGAAGAAAATTTAATTAATTAAATATATTATTCATCTCGCATAACTTTCTATTTACATTTCCACTATTTCAGTATTAATATTTACAAAAAGAAGTATATTTAAAGAAATACATATTATGACATTTCTATTGATAAAATATATAGTATATATTACTATGGTAACTAATATCACTCACGAATCGACTGTATTTGGCAGTTTGTTTGAAGAATCAGAATTGGTAATAATCACACATATTCATAGTTAGAAATAAATAGGACTCGGTGGAAACATATTCCAATCATTCAGAGAAATTAAATTAATATGAAAAATATCGTATCCTAAAACGAAAACGTAATATTATGTCTTTGTACAGAACAGTAAGTATTTTTATCAGAATGAATATTTCTTATTGAATATATAGATAAAACTAGTTACGAAATAAACAGTTCATTGTTTTAAAGGCGTATTTTGTTTATCAACAGACTCATAGCGTTTTATGTAATTTAGAAAAATTCAATTCACCGTGCCACTTCCTCATTTAGTTAAGACGTGAAAATCTTTTTATCTGTCTTTGTTGTCGGAATCCCACGAGATTATTTAAATAAAACCTTCGAAAAATTCAATTCAAGATTATTTAAATTTTTCTTTGTTTCAAAACTCATATTAAAATTTGTATCTTTAACTAACTTTTTGCTTTACTGCATTGGGTAAATAAAGACATACAAAGTCAACCAGTATCATACATAATTACTCTCAAAATGTGAAAAATTGTATACTTATTAAAAAAATACAATATATAGGGTGTTTATCACAATAAATATAAACTACTAATTACCAAACACTAATTTGTTGTATACAGTAATCTCAAATATCGTTTTCGTCTTATGATACCCCTCCTTCCTCCTTTCTTCCTTGCCCTCCAAATCACGCACGTCCACCACCACAGTGAGCCACGGCCTCTGGCTCTTCACAAGTTAAATTTTGGTCGTCGAAGAGCTTGTCCTCACCGCAAGAGATGAGCCTGGGGTGTCCTTCGACACAGGTAATGAGGCGGTGGCAGTCACCGGGCACCGGGAACCGTGGGAACGGCCAGAACCTCGCAGCTTGAGTATTTGCTGGTACCTTGGTGGGGCACTTGAAACCAACGACAGCTGTGGACATAATAAATTATAGAATTATGTATAAATATCTTATAACTTTTACTATAAGAGGATTTGCATTGACTGCCTTGGTGGTGCCGTAGTAGCCTATGGGAGTGCAGCGCTGAGATCTCGGGTTCGACTACCGGGTCGCACCAAATATTTGTATGATCTGCGACTATTTGTTTAACAGTTTGGGTGTTTTCTATGTATAATATGTGTGTATATACAAAAAAAAAGTATTCTATTAGTCAATCTAACTTCGACTAACAAGTAGATGGCGTTGTGTGTCAGTTGTCAGAAATATTGATTTTTTTATTTCATAATAACCTCCGCCTAAATGACTGGTCAGTTGGTTTAGTGGTTAATGAAATAGCAAATTTTTATTAAACCCAGCAATATCCAACTCGTGCCCAGTTGCAGAAACTTTCACAGTTAGCATTGACATATGATGTAGAAACAAGAAATTCGGATCACGGTTACGGGCTCTGCTCATGAACACAAGTATATGACGGAAAGGTCAGGTAAACAAAAAGGCTAAACGTATTACTACGATTAAGTAACGATTCAAACATCATGAATGCTTAGTGCTTAGTCATCGTAACTGACCATTTCGTTTGTTAATAGAAAAACAAACACCGTTAACAGTCGTAGCCTAAAAACCGGCTTTGATTTCTGATTTCCTAAATAATGTTTTTTTTTTAACATTATTTTCAAAGAAATCTAAGCATCAATGACATTTTTATTATTAAATAGCCAAAATTTCGAATTCCACGTTTAGTTGTATCTCATCAATTTTGGAGTTCAAGTTCCAAAATAAAATTTGGAATAAATAATGCATATGTTTTCTTAACTTGTTAACGATTTATTTTATTATACCATATTTGAGGGTCGTAAAATACATTACAAGAACCTACAATTTCACCAATTCTTTGCTTCATAGTTAACTATCATTAACTAAAAAACCACTGACGCCTATAGCAATACTATATAATGAAAAATTTCTGAATGTAATTCTATTTACAAATATCTACATCACACGTACCTTCAGGGTTGCAGAACGGTATGAGTAAATCAGGCCAGTTGCAGCCATGGATGCGATCATCGTATGCCAGACCGGGAGAACAGGGTTCCTGCTCGGGAATACCAAAGGCGCACTTGACGTAGCTCGTGGAACACTCGTCAGAGTCAGGATAGACGCCGAACTGGAACTCGCAGCCCGGAGTAGATAGAGGAATCACTGTAATTACAAACTTATGGTTAGCATAATTATATCTTGAAGACGTAAGGATAACATGATTTAACAAAGATAAGTATTGGCATTTCTGTTTAATGAGAGCATGTAATTATTTATTTCCTTTGAGGCATAATATGTAAACTTATCCCTGTTCTCTTATAATAGCTCGCACAGTTTTTATTTGTCATTCATCACAACTCACGTCTTCACGTCAGTAAGAGAAACTAAGTAACTTGTGAATTTTTTGTTTACTTTCATATTATTATATTTTATTATTGCCGTGTATTTCACTAAAATATAACTATGAACCACAGTTTTTGTGAAGAATGAATGAACGAATCTAAGTAGAGTTATTTCTGAAATCGGAGAGTGTATAAATACCATCTAGGATGTTTTGTTCTATCTCCATCACAAAAATCAATAAACCTATTTTAATTTTTACTCTAACATAAAATAAAGACTAATAATTTACGATTCTACTGCCCATTATGACGATTAGCAATATGGAAATTTAGCAAGCAAAACTTTATCAAATTACTAAGCTTTTCAAAAATCGTGTACTATCCTTTCGTTTATAGGCCCTCGTAAAAAACTAAAGAAGCTCTCTTTAATGCTAAATCCTTAAGGCACTGTCAGTATGTTTCACGCGTAGTTAATTTCACAGCAGATGTCATTCTTTAAAATCATTGTAGTAATTAAGCTCTTACACGAGCTGGCAATCATAAAACAATTGCTTTGGAAAGTGATAATGTGTACTCACAATCAGCCTTCCTAGTGCCACAATTCACGGCCCAGTGGTAGTTGCAATGATTGTGCACAGCACCCTTGCCGTCGAAAAGCAGTCCATTCTCACATGTCTCCACGGTCAAAGTACCATTGGTGCAGAGGAAAAACTGGTCGCATAGTTCTGGATGCGCGTACGCCTGGAATTGTACAGAAAACATTATTTAATAAAAAACAGATATTTGTTTTAGAATGGCAAGCAACATATTCGAGTGAAGTGAAAATGAGGTGCTTAGTTTCCAATGATAGTAAAGCAATAAAAATATCATGTGTTGAAGTTGAATTTAGAACTCTGCTTTATTATTACGTAGATAACGCAACTCATTAAGAAATTAATTGAAAACATCGCGTGATTTTAATGGCTATTAAATGATAATTATACGAGTAATTGTAATTGATAATAAAAATGCTTATAACTTCATCCATAACAGAAAGTTATGATAATAAATGATTTTTATATAAACATCAATGTTTCTTAATATAAGTACTACAGTATGCATTTCAAACATCCAGAAATAAAACAAAACATGAAGATTTACTAATTTCGTGTTCTGTTAATGGTAATTACACACAACACATTTCATACTTAGATTTTTAATCCACATGTTCGATAAATAAAATAACTACCGAAATATACATCGTATGTAGTATGCACAGGTGTAACGCCCTTAGTGGTTACAAATGTCCATAGGTTTTGTTGAAAAAAAAACAACTGTTAATCTTAAAAGAGAAAATCGGTGTCTGAAAATGCTACCAAAGAACAAAAAAGACGGCAGTTATTAAAGAGATGGTATTACCTGAACTCCGTATTGTTCAGGGCACGCTGGTGCATGCTCAAGGAGGATGCCTGCACTGGCTGTAACCAAAACAAAAATAAAACATGATACAAAAATGTAAAATCACATATAATTATAAAACTATATGACCATTTCTTCTTTTGATATTATTTCTTCCTACATAGTCAAAATTAAACATTATAAGGAACAAATTATGTATAATATGTGTAATAATTTATAATGGTACTTAATGCACGTACATTTTATTCATTTGTTTATATTAGAAATAATAATATTCCATATTATTGTGTGTATGTGTGTAGGTCTAATACACGTCCTTACAAATAACTAGTATTTCCTGCAATGCTCTGAATAATCTCAATATAATAATTTTAAGAACGAGGTAGAGTGCCAGTAATGGATCTAAGTAAGGCCTCTATGAACAATCATTAAGCGTCTTCAAGTATACATACCCTCATTCAAACACATTTGGAGGTATAACATATTGAAGAGAAAAGTAATTACTTAAAAACACCTTAGAAGAACATACATAAAGCACAAAAAAAAAACAGAAAATGCAGGACAGTTTTCTTTAAAATAATTTTAATGAATATTCTTTTTTACTCCTCCGGCTAAGTTAAAAGTTGAGTTACACATAGATTCACGTAGTTAGTGCAATCAAAGCTATTCAAACCTCTTGACCACAATTCCAACACAACTCTACTTTCGCAATTAGAATATGCCGCTTATGCCTCAAAATTTTGACTTTTTAAAAGATACCATTCAGTGTAAACCGATATACGAGTACACTGAATGGTATCTTTTGATATGAAAATTGTTTTGTTTCAACACAAAAAATTTACAACCATTGCAACAGCGGTTACTAAAACACTCAGACTTCATGCAACTACTTCTACTAATATAGATAAAAAGCATGTTAAAGTACGGGACATGCAGCGAGCGTCGAAGCATCTAGTTCGTAACTAAATAAAACTTTATATTAACAGATTATAGATACCTTTACGACCAGAGTCGAAGATAATTAACTTCACTTAAAGTTAGATTTTTTAAGATTCTTATTACTTTCTTTCATCTGTTTGTGTACCCATTTGTTATATAAATACGTGTATACTCAGCTGAAAAAAATAGCTCCAGCTACCTACCCAGTAATACATCGCAAAATGCAAGTTCTCTTGTCAAATAGCACTTCCTAACGAGTTTTTCTAATCTAATAATGCTGTAAACGGATGTTATCATCCTGCCAACGCAAAAGGAAGATTCACCAATGAGGCGAAGTAATCGTGGCGGCCCAACGGTTGTTTTTGGAAGGAAATATATAATTAATGAAGGATCATTATTTGCTCTGTAATTCATTGTGTTTTTGTCAGATGGTATTGAAGTATTTTTCTGATATATGTGGAAGTGGTCACTATAAGTTAAACACGTCGTGAACCAAGGGTTTTCGAACAATAATTCGAGGTTAAACTTTCGAAGTATCCAATGCGTATATTAAAATCGTTGGAGCGTATCGTGTTGCAACCCCGTGTGAGGTCGGCTGTGCGTAATTGGTTCGTTTAAGCCATTACTTGAAATTAGTACTTAGAATGCATTCAATGCAAATTGTTGCTTATTTTACTCTTGAGTGCTAGAACTAATTAGACAATTCTAAACAGTCGTTCATAACAACATACTCTTTTCCTTATGCATACTAATAGAAAGATAAACATAAATAAAATCTTGTATTGTAGGTATTTTATATGTATGACCCATCTTATTCTGGTACGTGTCCACTGTGCATACGGCTTAAGCATTAAGAGTTATTGTTTACAATGTTTAAATTGATATCGAACTTTGAGCTATAATTGGAAAGAAAGCTACATCGCTTTAAGCTATAGTTTAAATTTAAAACACGGATTAGGAAAAAAAATCAATTCTTCTGCCGACCCGTATGGTCTTAGGCAGTTGAAAGAATGATTTAAGTGAAGAATTTCATGTATTCTTCTAAATACAAAAGATTTCCTACCTACTACCTACCTGCCCCTCTTGATACCAAAATAAAGCAAACACAATACTCAGTAAGCACTACAGTAAACAATTTCACAACAAAAAACATTGATATTTATTAAACATGATATTGTGAGTGAAACATTGTAGACAGTCTTCAAACCTACAGAAAGTCTAGAAAAATCTTACAGCATCGCGTTTAAAACATTGAGTTAACAATGGTTTAAAATAAATTGTCACTTGTCAATGAAATGCCACCCGTAAAATGAATTGTATACTTATAATATTATAAACCGTTTTCTATTTGTGTTGAGGTAAGGAAATGTACAATTACTTATATTATTCATACTTTTATGTACAATGACGTGCTGTCAACAAAATTGTCATTGAACATAATAATATACGCGCTCCTAAATAGCTGCTATGTTTTATGTTCCGTGTTTGCTAAATAAGTTGTTGGTTAGTGATGAGTTTGTAATCGAAAACGAAATATTTTTTGAGGCTTAATAATTAATTAAAATTAATAAAGTCACAAATAATTACATACATATATATATATATATATATATAATGACTTTTTAATAATGAATAATTGACTTACGATAAAATTTATTGTTTAAATTTGAAAAATAGTTTTTTTTTTTTTTGATACGTAGACTAATTTACTAGCCTAGGAATTTCGTGTTTGAAGCAATACAAAAATACATATATATTTATTACCATTTCAATAAAAACAAAAAAATAGTACCATCACTATTCCATAGATTTACCAAACTTTTGTTCTTAATTATATTGTAGAATTATATCGGGCCGGTATAATTCCACTGCACGGGTATAAGGCTCGAAGCTTCGTAAGCAACGCGAAGAATCATCAGTTACTCATTTGCGTAAAGACTAGGAGTATCGAAAGTAATAAGAAATAACTGTATTTTCAGTATTAACAACATAAAGAAAAGCTTAAATTATTTTCATTAATAGCAAGATCTCCTTCTCCTCCGAGACTTTTCCGAAACTAGGTTGGGGTTGTCTTTCAGTTTACTACGACACGGTACGAACTAACTTTAAAATCTTTACTTTTTTCATTTCTTTTGTTTACTAAATTTTAAATAACAAGAAATTGACTTTAACATAAATTTTGTAATATACAAAAACCTTGTAGCTTATCATAGTATAAATAAACAAGAAACTTTAGAGTATAAACAAGAAACCGATTTTGGACTAGGACTAAATCATTAAATAATTGTGACGAGTAAAAATAGTACTGAATACAAAACGTACATATTTAATAATTGTTCGAAGTTTTTTCATTGTATCAATGCGCCCATTGATACAATTATAGAGGGCGACAAACAGATAGTGTTGCTTTTACTTGTAGTTCAAACTTTCGCTATCGTTTTTTTTAAGACAACTACCGCATTACTGATATATCCTGTGTCGCGGGGGACTTTCCAAACAGACATGAAACGGACACAAAGAACATACAGAACAACAATTTGTGGATCACATAAAGTCTCGTCCCATGTGGGGATCGGACCCACAACACTCAGCGGTTTAAGCGGTCTCCTCGCCGCTTACTACTACAGTAAGCGGCGTGGAGACCGCTTAAACCCCTACGCCATCCGTGCAGTCGTTTTATCATTAGACTTTTACGCAAAAGATATTCTAACAATATTATCATTTATTGATGGTGCGCAAAGAAAATTATTTTTTCATAGTGAAAAGATTTATACCACACTTAAAACGGATATGAAAATATATTTCGTTCTTCTTACAAAGTTCAGCGTATTTAGTGCCGGTCGATAAAAAAATGATAGTAATAAATTCTTTTCTCACACTACTTACACTACACACTCATAGAATCAAACGCGGCATTACCACGTGTACAGAATGAATGCAAGTCGTGAGTGAGTTGTGAGGCAACGTCACCAGATATCGGCCACGGTAGCAACAACCTCGAGCACTTTTACTTTTACAACTTAAGAAGTGAGTCTTCTTCACGTTGTCACGAATCTAACTAACGCTCAAGTCCATTTTATGGGAAGTAAATGGTTTCTATCTCCTGTCCGAAAATTTTACTTTCAAGTGCTGACAGAGTAAAATTTATAACTATAGCCAAACAAAAGATCGAAATGTTATTACTATTTTGTCAACATTAGAATACGTTTCTTAATCCATTTATACATATATCAAGGTAGAGCCTAAACCACTGGGGGTACAAAACTTTAAATTTTTACAGCTGATGCTTTTTATAATGTAAGGGTGTTTGGGTACTAAGAATGGATTTTTTGGAAATGTCAAATTAAGAATCTAAAGTAAAGGATAAACGGTTGTTAAAAGTTCATCATTTTCAAAGTTAGAAACACAAAATAAGAAATGGTCACGTGAGCGAGGTGAGGAGTGAGCGTATCTACCGAAAATTGTTACTGATTTTCTTTATTGGTGATTTAAATAATAAGGCGTAGGCTTAGTGTGAAATGTACTGTGAATAGCATGCATACTGTGCACTGCTACTGTGATAAAGTCTACTTTTATGAAACACTATCATTCATCAGTTGGATGAATATTAGTTATTTTAATTACCTTATTGCGTCATTGTTCTCCTCCAAAAATATAGTTAACAGTCACTAATTATAATAAAACACTTTACTATTTATATTAAGCACATGACATAATGACAAGTATTTTCAGTTTACTTTAAGAGAGTAATTTAATTTTTCAAGATTTTTTGTATGCGAACAATGACTTGGAAATAAAATGAATGAAGAATCACCCAGTCTCTCTTAATAATGCTTTAGTTACTTGACGAAGTTATGGGTAAAAGATGAGTAATCCAAAAGCAAACTTTTTTTGAATTCTAATAAAGTTCTAAGATTCTTTTAATGGATATGGCAACCCTCTGAATATTTGTTCTGTTCTTTATGTTTTGTACATAAAGAACAGAACAAATATTCAGAGGGTACGAAAGCGAAACAGTGGAAGATGGTTTTTATATGTATATAACATCATTATGCAAAATAGCATAGTAACAACAACAAAAGGTAAAGGAGTCTAAATAAAAATACTAATGCCACTGCTT